TCTGACAGGATCTTTCTGGGTCTACAGCAAACATGCAGATTAATGTAGAAGCCTCTCCAGGTATCTCTGAAGATGAGGCTGAATTTCTGCTTTACTGATCCTGCTGACATGCAGGCTTTAATTGACACTTCCATGGCAAAAGCAAGGATAAGGCCCTGGTGTCAGGCCGCAATGCCTCATATAAGGCTAAACACTCCTCCAAAACAATAGAGATGGACAGTACCATACCTGTCATGGATGGCGCGATTAATTTACCACCGCGTAAAATAGCTACTAGTCGGGCAAATTCGACAAGACTTTGGAAAAGGGCAAAAGCCCAACTGAACTCTGAATCTGAGCTCAGTGATATTGAGGATGAGTTCCCTGAGTCCTATATGAAGGATTCAGAGGATATTTCTGATCCTGATTATGAAATTACTGATGAAGAGGATGCTAATCCCGTTTGGGATACACGTCCTGTTAAACCTACCAAGATTTAGGTAGATTATGCAGACTCAGGGACACCGATAGGATCTTGAACACTCAATGTGAACCCCTATTTGAACCGGATGACCTATACAGTGGTCTCCTCAGACCATGTAGCCAAGTATATTGCATCCAGAGTACGCAAGCCTTTTGAGAAGGCAAAGTGAAATAAATTGCGGGCTGAATGGCCACGCCAAACAGTCCCTGATGACTCATGTAAAACGCTATCAGTCAATCCTAAGATCATTCAATTCCTGAGTAAGACAGGATGGAAGACATCTAAAGGCTTAGATTTTCATTGCAAAACTGTCAGGATAAAATCCTGGGCATCTTGGGCTCAGCAGCCAAGATCTTTGAAGCAGTGGAGGATGATCTAGAATCAGATTGCACCATCTTAAGTGGTTAGATCCAGAGAGTGATTTAAGTTGGCAACGCCAACAATGCGGTTGTCACAGAACGCCACAAATCGATCTTGCTCAAGATTGAGCCCAAACGTTTAATTATGGCTCTGAACGAGCCAGATAACACAGGCAAAAGGCTTTCTCTTTGGGGACAACTTTGTAAAAGAATTGGGCTCCTTTGTCCGGCTAAACAAACAGAAGTTCTTTTATACAGAACCAAGGCTCTTATACTTGCCGAGCCGATTTCTTTGAACAATGCACTATACCAACCTCCTTCCCACAAAGTGGTTGACCCTGGATTGTTAGTGGCCTAAGAGGTGCTCCTAAGACGTCTTCACAATTTCCATTCTTTCTTACTGATAGTGGGGGGAAGGCTCACACATTTTTCCCATGTATGATCCCTCATTTCATCAGATGCTTAGGTTCTTCACACTTGCATAGACTTCCTTTCTCTACCTGTTCAATGTTCCCCATCAAGGGAAATCTTTTTTCCCAATGAGACGCAGACCTTGTCTCCGTGGACAATCAATTGTAGAGATTCCGGCCCATACCCTGGGTTACGTGAGCAACCTTTTCTTGTTTCCCAAAAAAGGCAAAAGTATCCGTCCAGTGATAAATTTGAGACTGCTCAATAGTTATGAGCATATCAGCACTTCCAATATGGAAGGAGAGCATTGTTTAAGGGATCTTCTCCAACCAGCAGATTGGATGGCCAAATTGGATCTGCAGGATGCATATCTCACAGTGCCTATACCAGTACAACATCAAGATCGAGAACTTCCTGCAATTTACATGGTAGGGCAGTAAATAGAGGTTCAGGTGCCACCCTTTCGGACTGTCTTCGGCTCCATGGTGCTTCACCAAGCTCACATCTTATAATATATTTAGACGGCATTTTCATTCTGGCTCAGTCTATTCAATTAATCCAAACATACCTTGAATGGACTTTGACTCTGTTAGAGAACCTAGGCTTCTTGACCAATTGGGAGAAATCCATTATCGTTCCCACGCAACAAATCAAATTTCTGGGTTATATTGGATTATTGTAGATTCTACCCTTCAAACTGTAGATAGGTGACAACTAGTGATGTCGCGAACCCGAAATTTTCGGTTCGCGAACGGCGAACGCGAACTTCCGCAAATGTTCGCGAACCGGCGAACCGCCCGAACCGCCATAGACTTCAATGGGCAGGCGAATTTTAAAACACACAGGGACTCTTTCTGGCCACAATAGTGATGGAAAAGTTGTTTCAAGGGGACTAACACCTGGACTGTGGCATGCCGGAGGGGGATCCATGGCAAAACTCCCATGGAAAATTACACAGTTGATGCAGAGTCTGGTTTTAATCCATAAAGGGCAGAAATCACCTAACATTCCTAAATCACAATGAATATGGATTGACACCTGACATATGACATATTGACACCTTGACATATGGATTGACACCTGTCCTCAGAGCCCCTGATGCACATGGACACAGAGCAGAATAGGGACTGTTCCCCCTACATAGGGTCACTTGGCAGATATGGATTGACACCTATCCTAAGGATCCCTGATACACACTGACAAAGAGCAGGATAGAGACTGTTCCCCCTACATAGGGTCACTTGGCAGGTATGGATTGACACCTGTCCTCAGAGACCATGATACACACTGACACAGAGCAGAATAGAGACTGTTCCCCCTACATAGGGTCACTTGGCAGATATGGATTGACACCTGTCCTCAGAGACCATGATACACACTGACACAGAGCAGAATAGAGACTGTTCCCCCTACATAGGGTCACTTGGCAGATATGGATTGACACCTGTCCTCAGAGACCATGATACACACTGACACAGAGCAGAATAGGGACTGTTCCCCCTACATCGGGTCACTTGGCAGATATGGATTGACACCTTGTTACAAACTGCTATTTGTAACGGGCCCTTTAAATGGCAAATTGCCCTGCTTCCCTGGGTTGTGGAGAAGCCTATTTGCCAGCCTCCTCCCGCATGACTATGGCCCCTGGGAGATTGTGAAAATGTATGCACTTTTATTTGGTGTGTATGGCCCTTTAAGACTGTCGGTGGGCATATTGGGGCTTATGGACTCTTTATGTGACTGGTGCTGGCCCTTTAAACACCTTTTTTGGGACATCAGGAAGATTGGGACACTGCCCCTTTAAGGCCGTGTCCCCAGACTTGTTGGGGACACGGCCCCTTTAAGACGGTGTCCCCTGTGTCCCCAGACCTGGTGCAAACCCTTTGTGCCTGCCTGCTATTTCCCACTTGGTTCAGTAAATGGGGCTTACTGAACCAAGTACCACACAGGCAGACCACCCAGAAGTGGAAGTGTGCAGGCAATTTACCTCCCAGAAGCTGCGGTTAACCGCAGCTTAATTGACAATGCTGGGAGGTCTTTGTTCGTTTGCTGAACACGTGGCGGCGGCCATCTTTGATCATTCGACGAGGTCAGCGGTATGTGTAGCCAAATTCATGGAACTAAAATCGGCTACACATTTCCGCGAACACCGCTGAGCTCTACCTTCTCCACTACTGGTTTTACAGCTGCAGAGACTAAGTCCCATTCGGCGATGGGACTTAGTCGTTTTTTCAGCCTGAAATAGACCGACCTCACAGCCCAAATCTATGGAACTGTTTTGGGCAGGAAAATGTGCTTGCGGTCGGTCATAAAGGGACCTCCAGCTAACTTTTTAACCCCTGGATGGATTTGGCTGATTTTTGGTTATGTTTATGTTTTAAGTGTGCTGATTCCAAATATGTAATTATGAAGATGGGATGTGTAGTTTTAAAGTTACAGGGTATGGCTAAAAACTGTATTTTTACTGCCTGTGTTTAATTATGTTAATCTCTTCCCAAACGTCATTTCGTTCAAAGTGGAGAGAATGTTAAAAAAATATATTTTTGTTCGGAGTGTGAGAAATGCTTTTCAGCCGCTTCTAATCTTAAGCATCATTTGAGGAGCCATACAGGAGAGAAACTTTATTTGTGGTGTGTTTAGTATTGTTCTGATCAGTTTAATACCTTCCGCGTCTCCTATCAGTGGACGTGTATATGGCAGCCATTTTAGGAACCGTACACCTGGGACCCGAGCAAGGTCACCTCGTTCAACAGGCTTGCAGCGTATCCTCCAGGAAGAAGAGCCTGAACCCTTACCGGCTGCACGTGTCTTACCTGTACATGAAAAGCTGCTCTGGTTCCTTGATGAGCCAGCTGCCCGTGAGTTAACATGTCCCGTGGAGAAGCACTCTGTCCTGTAAAGCCTCACCAAAGAAAAGGAGTGGTGTGTTTAGTATTGTTCTGATCAGTTTAATACCTTCCGCGTCTCCTATCAGTGGACGTGTATATGGCAGCCATTTTGTCAGATTCAAGTTCTTGTGCCCTGTGGGAAAATTTATGGGATAATAATAGTAAACAGTTGAGAATTGCCCACTAATTCAATTCTCAGATCCCAAAGAACGTTTATCGTGTTTAGTGGAATGTATTTCATATAATTAATCACAATGTATAAAAATAGATTTTTATTTATATGACAAATTAATAATAATATATGTAACATGCATGACAATAATCAATGAATATTCAGTACAAAGTTATATGCAATACAAAGAAATGGGTATTACGTTTCAATGGCTAAATAGCATTTCCTGTCAAGAATTCTGACGATTTATGAGGTATCTTTAACACAGGCTGAAAGTGAAACTTTTCACACAGAGAACAGAATTCCTCAGAGTGCAGCGTAAGGTCGTAAAGTTTAGCAGACAGTTAGAATAACCCTTTCAATGCTGGCTAGATCTCCTAGGTAGTTAAGATCTATTCTTATGTAAATTTTAAATAAAATAACATTTAAGCCAGTTTAAATTCATTTTCTTAAACCATCCATAAGAGAATTTACCACATTATATAAGCAGATTTTTAATTTGTCTAAAAGATATCTATCTTAATTTAGAGCAAATCAATACACCTGGATAAAAACAGCGGTATGCTAACACGTGATAATATCACATCAATATATAATTATTCTTAATTCCACCTGCAGAATGGAATGTTTATAACTATATATTCTTAGTTAACTAAGATTTCTTAATATGGAAATCTGACCGTGCTTTATCCAGTCATATATAATGCTATTAATACATTTTAATTAATTTAATTTAATTAAATGAAACCAGTATAATTACCAGTTGAGTAGATATTTCATCCGATTGGTAGTCTCAGGAATTTATTTGGATGTGTCTCTGCATGGAGGTTGGAGTCCCCAAACTTCCAATTCCTCTCTTTTCTCTCCTTTGCATATCTTGCATCTGCCTCCTTCGTCTTGTCTCTCTATCTTCCCTTTGTCTTAACTTTTAAAGGGCCATACTCTCTGTACGTCATCAGTTGATAACCCAATAGAAGCACTAGAGGTGTGGTTATCTTCCAGATCGCAAATTAGTTATTTGGTCTGTAGAGGGCAGTCTTGCCCCACTAAACATACCTATCCAGGAAAGAGTTAACTTTTCCTGGTGGCTATTTTGACGTCATTTTGCATTATCTTTATAGCGCCATAATTTAAAATTTCAAAGGGTTTCTTAAATTTTGTCCAGACTTAGCGTCTGCAATTCCTGCCATAATTTCTGATATGACAGATCATGAACTAAGTTTACCCTTTTCCATACAATGGTACCTTATATATATAGACAGTTAAATTTTATTATTTAATCTTCTCTGTCACAATTGTCTGGGTTTAGATTTGATTATATTCCATTAGCATTAGACAGTCTGTCCAACCCCCTTCCTTATCACTTGGCTTGTATATACCATGCATTCCTCAGATCTGGGAAAGTGGTTAGCTTACAGATAGAAATATAGTGTCTTTTTGTTAACTTGAAATAACAAAATGGAGTCTGGTCTGTTCAGAGTGACTCAGAATATACACTTTTAGTTTCTATCATAGCACAAAATGTCTGCCGATATAAATACTCTGACATAACCCCCCTTTAGTGCATTTCATAGCCAAAATTAATTTAGCTTATGAATAAGCACTATAGAAGTTATCAGACATATTGTGCAATCACATCATTTCTAACATAGGCCCGTGCGTGGAATGAACATTTCTGTATATATTTGTACCTGTAAAAGTTTTGAACTTTACACTTAGTACAATCAACCATAATATCATTATTACATAGTACATTATTTTCATTTGAAAAATGTCTTTGGGAGTTACATATGGTATGGCCAATAAAAAGCAAATCTCCATACGTTCCGGATCAATTAAGAGAGGTATAGCGCTCCCCATCTCAAAGGCCAGATTTAATTGCATAGGCTCAATTGTCTCTCCATCCACATTGGCAAGCATCGCATGAACAATATCCTTGGATACAAAATACAGAGGTATGCGTCCCCCTGCCAATTCGATCATTCCAGTTTGCACTTCGTCAAGAAAAGCAAGTGTGTGGAACAATATTGGGTCATGCAGAAATAAAAGTTCACGCTTAAATAAGTCATGACTTTGGTGCAGCTCAGTGGATTTGGCAATTAACTCCGAATGCAAATTTGTTGTAACAACTGTGTCTTCCACAATAGTTAACACGTCTTGGAGAAGTGTTCTTTGCTGTTGTATCACCTGATGAATATCGTTAATGTGTTGCTTTAGCGCATAGATTTCCATATCCAGCTTTTGGACAGTAATAGAGTTGGCTGCAGACATTCCAGTTGCGACAACTGCACCGACAGTGGCACAAACTAATGCAACAATTATAGCGGTGAGGAACCTTTTGGGTCGGTTGCTCATCGGAATAGAACTGGATACAAATGGTTTCCGGGCTTGCTCCAAGATGTTTCGCACACGGTCCTGTGCTCTTTGGAGGTGCATCTGGTACCAAGTCTGTAACTCAGGAAGCTGCATCGATGAAATGTTGTATGCCTTCTCGATGGAAATCTTGGGGTCCAAGCTGACGAACACACGTCGGGTCAGGATCCTCTTCTCTGTTAAGATGAACCCTGGTGTCTCTTGAATCAGGATGCTGGAGGATGGTCCCATCTCTGCGATCGGGTCGGTCTGTAGCTCTTGGCACAGGAGCAGTACGATCCAGAAACACGCCACATCCTTCTTGGACATCCTTCGACAGTCACGGATCAGGAACTCGTTTCAGACTTATCTACTAATGATTCAAGGTTTGTTAAGCATACAAACTTATAACAGTGTGACATCACTTGGCCTAGGACAACACATTATTACGATTCATCAACATATGTATTCTGTCTAATTCTATTTTTATAACTTCATCCCTCACTACATTTATTACTGACTCTTCAGTAATTTGCCTATAGCAGTTAAACAAGCTAGTAACCTGCTTATAAAATGTAGTTATTGGATGGCAAGGAAATGGTTAATGACATGAACGTACATGAGATCATGGCACATCACAACATTTCACATCATACTATACCACGTGAATCAAGCATTCATCCAGGTTAGTCGTTCACCCTTCTGCGTCTGAATCCACACCTATAATCCTTAATTGAGATTTAGGATGACAAGCACGCAACTGGTTAATGTGAACCCACTTTTCAATAAAATCACCATCCTTAGGAATTTTTATCTTATACGCTACTGGGGAAATTTTGTCAATAATGACATATGGCCCTTTCCAAGAAGGTAAAAATTTCTTTTCCTTGACTTGATTTCGCGCAAAGTTATACAGATAGACTTGATCTGTTATCTCATATTCCTTTTTCGTGGTTTTTAGATCGTAATAGGTCTTAACCCCTGTCGCTGCTTTTTCTAGATTCTTTTGGGCAAAAGCAAACGCATGCTGTAAATGCTTGCGCAAATCTTCGATATACTGATGCGTAGTGGCAGCATTGATCAAATTATGATCTGAAGTACGGTATAGTAAATGCTGTGGTAAAACCATCTTTCTTCCTGTCATCAATTCAAAAGGTGACAATTTGGTAGCAGTGCTAGGTGTAGCTCTAATCGCCATTAAAACTAGGGGCAATTTAATGTCCCAGTCTTTACCAGACTCCTTAACATATTTCTTTAGAATATTAACGATAGACTGGTTATATCGCTCTACCCCCCCGCTAGACGCAGCGCGGTATGCAATATGTAGCTTTCGTTTAACACCTAGAATGTTCCACATCTTAGCCATTACTTCGCTGGTAAAATGACTACCTCTGTCTGACTCAATTCTTTGAGGCAGACCGAACCTGGAAAAGACATGGTTAATCAACAAAGTGGCGCACACGGTACTCGTGTTCTCTTTACAAGGCAAACATTCTATCCACTTTGTGTACATACATGTAACGGTTAACATGTATTTGTTACCTCTTGAAGATCTTGTTACAGGACCTATAAAGTCAATTTGAATATCAGACCAGGGTAATGACACCCCCCTCTTCTGAAGTGGTGCACGATGGGTTGGACCATGGGGTTGATATTGCGGACAAATCAAGCATCCCTGACAGTATGTCTTAACATCCCTTAACATGTGTGGCCAATATGCATAATCACGCAATATCTCATATGTGATCTTATCACCACGATGCCCAGATGTAGGTGCATCATGTGCGTGTTGGAGCATTAACCCTCTGTATACAGTTGGGACTACCCATTGTTGTATACCATGTTTAGAAGTTCTGACCAGTAACCCATCCATGATACTAAATTGGACTTTATATCTCATCAAGATTCGTAAATCTTCATTATTTTTGCAATCCTCATCTGTGATGGGATTGGCAGTAGGGTCTTCTATATGTTTATAGAATATGCCTATGACGGGATCATTCTTTTGACTAGTAATCAGGTCATCACTAGGAGCTTCTTGACTCCATTGCACGACATTTAAGTCGGCATTATCTCTAGCCTGTCGTCTAGTTATGGCTTCAACATGAATTGAACCCATAAGATCATCAATGTTTAGGGTTTCACCATTGATGGCAGCTTGTTTTGCCAGTGAATCGGCTAAGTCATTACCATCCTTGTCAATACCTTCTATTTTAGAATGGCCTTTGGTTTTCTTCCAATATATGGTTAAACCATTTTCCTTAACCAACTCATCAATTTTACAAAACAATTTCCCATGTTTAACAGGTTTGTTATTGCTTTTCAGCATTTGGTTACGTTTCCAGCTAGGCAGATATTCGACGAAACTGTTGCGAACATAGTTGGAATCAGTTATAATAACAAATTCTTTGATACCATATTCTATTGCCATTTGAATGGTCTTATATACTGCACAGAGTTCGGCTATCTGACTGCTTTTGGGACCAATATTGTATCCTATAGATACATTGGGATAATCACCTGTCCAGGCAATTCCGATACCTGCAACTAACTTCCGTTCAGCACCAACTACGTGGTGATATGAACAACCATCAATGTATACCCACGGTAGTGGTCGACAGTATTCCTCGTCATAAACTTTATAAGGAGATAGCAATTGCTCTTCTAGGAAGTCATCTCCGGTGTCATTATCATCCAGAGATGGAGCAGTACAGTCATGTAATTCTGCTAAACCTTGGGCAACTGGGCTTCTCTTATTATGTTTATAACGGACTTCTAACGGCCATCCCTGTAAGGATAGAGTCCATGCAGTAATCCGACTGTTAGAGAGATTACCGTCTCTAATTCTTTCACTCTGCAGATACTGTAGAGGTTGGTGAGCTGTTTCTACAATTATTTTCTCACCTTGGATATAGCTACGAAAATTTTGTAGTGCCCAGACAGTCGACAATAACGCCTTCTCACATGTGTTGAATTTAACTTCAACAGGTGACAAAGTCTTGCTAGCATATGCAATAACTTTGTTTAAACTGTCCTGCTTCTGATACAGAACAGCACTTATGCTTAAATCGGTATATCCTGTCTCCAGATAGAAGGGTTTACCCCCCTCTGGGTATGCTAAACAGGGTGCCTGAGTGAGCTTCCTCCTCAGTTCACTTACCGCTTGGTCCTGAGGCTCCCCCCAGTTCCAGGTAGTTTCCTTTTTAAGCAGGTGTAAGAGTGGTTTGTTATTTCTGCATAGTTATCTATAAACTTACGGGAGTAATTAGTCATACCAAGGAACGATCTTAATTCCCTGATGTTTGAAGGTGTTTTAGCCTTTAGTACGGCTTCAACCTTCTTCCTCTGGGGATTTAATCCTTCAGAAGTTACCTCATGTCCGAGGAAATTGACATGGGTGCGACACCATTGCGCCTTTTGTAAAGACAGTTTAATCCCTGCCTCTCTTAACTGAGTGAGAACATGTCTAATCTCTAAGATATGCTTATCAAAGGAAGTGCTTTTCAGCAAGACATCGTCGACATATGATAACGTTCCTCTCTCGAGTGCGTCAGGCATAGCTTTATGCATGAACACAGCGAATTCATGACCAGAGTTTATATAACCGAAAGGCATACGGGTCCAGGTATACTGCTGCTTTCCAAATGTGAAGGCCAATTTGTATTGGTCTTCATTATGGACTGGTACAGTC